AAATTGTTTTATTTGTCAAAATCCTTTCACATCCGATCAGGTTAAGGTTCGCGATCATTGTCACATAAGCGGTAAATACCGCGGCCCCGCCCATTTCAATTGTAATCTAAATTTCAAACTTCGAAACATTATTCCAATATTTTTACACAATTTTAGCGGCTACGATTGCCGTTTATTTATTAAAGAATTAATGATACCTCACTACCATCTAAAAGTATTACAACAAATTAACTTTAGAAGATATAAGTTGAGGTTGTTTGGTTGTGAATTAAATAAAATATATCCTTATAACCTCTTTTTAAGGATAAATATACAAAACGTGTTTCGTTATGAAAGTGATGGAAATGAACTCAAGTTTTATTAAAATGTAAACAATAATAAATTTTCATGACAANATTAATTTTTAATTTCAATAGTATTCAAATTTTTGATAACACCGTGTCACTTAGGGTAAGAAGCAGTTGGTGTTTGATAACCAACATTTATTTGTTATAATGCTTTTTTGTTATATGTACTTTATCAATTGAAAACCACAGACAAAAACGGCCAACCCAACCCAACCTGTGAGGGTCATCCCGGAGAAGACGAGGACAGGGGTTTTTAGTGTAATTATATTGTAATTTAAATATAAAATTTTAATTCGCCAATGGATTTCTCTTTATTTTGCATTGAAATTATAAAATTATAACTTTTTGATTTGAGGTGTATATTTGAAAAATTTGGAACAAATCTATGATAAAAGTTTATCATACCCAAAAATCTTTGTAGTTGTTTAAGGGTTTTTGGTATTGGAAATTCTTTAATAATTTTAATTCTATCATCTGAAGGACGAATGCCTTGAGGAGAAATATGATGGCTCAAAAAATTTATGGATTGCACACCAAAAATGCATTTAGAAGGTTTAATTGAAATTCCAAAATCATTTAACCTATTAAAAAGTATATCTAAATGAGAGATATGTTCTTCGTCATTTTTGCTTGCAATTAGAATATCATCTAAGTAAACAAAGATAAAGTTTAAGCCAGAAGTAACTTCGTTGATAAAACGTTGGAACGTTTGAGCAGCATTTCTCAAACCGAAAGGCATTCTTGTAAACTCAAATAAACCAAAAGGGGTAGTTATCGCAGTTTTATAAACGTCTTCCTCGGCAATTGGTATTTGGTGGTACGCCCGTACAAGATCTATTTTAGAAAAGATTTTACAGTTGTGCAAATGTAAATTAAAATCTTGTATATGCGGTAACGGATATCTGTCCGGCACCGTAACTAAGTTCAATTGACGGTAGTCTCCACATGGTCTCCAATCATCACAATCTTTTTTGGGAACCATGTGAAGCGCAGAGGCTACAGAAGACGAAGATGGCCTACAAATGCTAAGGGCAACCATTTGTTCGAATTCTGTTTTTGCTATTGTATATTTAGTGGAATCCAAACGTCTTGGACGGCAAAAAAAGAGATGTGAATTCGTAACAATTTTATGTTCAACAGAATGTTTCACAGGTTTGGAAAAATCTGGAGTTGAAATTAAATTGGGTTATTTTTTAAAAAATTGAGTATATTTTGTTTCGACAATGAATAATTTTGGAGTTGGAACAATTTGAGTTAATAAGTGGACCTGATGATGTCAATTTAGTTGAATCAACTAAACATTGATTTCTAATATCTACCAAAATACCGAATTTGTTAAGAAAATCTGCACCAATAATAGGTCTTGAAATATCAGCAACAGTAAAAATAAAAGGGAAATTTCTTCGAAGATTCAAATTTATTGTTAACATTTTTTACCATAAGTAGCAATAATTGAACCATTTGCTGCTGTAAGAAAAGAGTCTATTTTTTTTGTAATGCAAAAACGTATTACGAGGAATAACAGATACGTCTGCACCTGTATCTATCAAAAAATGAAGTTTGTTTTGATGATCGAGGATAAAAAGTCGAGAACTCTTTTTGTGAATTGGTACATTTGAATGTTCTTTTTTAAATGAATTGTGAAAAATACACCAGTCCGGACATTTCAACGCTTTATCGCCGAAGTTGCTATGATAAAAGCAAATTTTTGAAGAACGTGCAGGTGAACGTGAACGATTACGTGAGTTAGATTTTGATCTGTTTCTGAATTGGCCTTTACAATTTGAACAAAATTCCGTTTTTGTTGAGGAATTTTCTGAATTTATCTGTTGTTGTAACGCGTTAATTTGTGTTTCCATTGATACTTGTTTTTGCGTTAAGTATTGTAACATCGATTGACACGACAAACTAAATTCAGAAAAAGCTTTTATTAAATCAAAATTATTTTGAACGGAATCATTTTTAGAGTTTGAAAAAGAAACTTCCGAAATTTTATAAGGTTTAGAAAGAGAAGAATTAAATGATTCCCAAATTTTATCGGCAATAGAAAGAAGTTCAACAATATTGTCTTTACCGGACGCTAATAATGCAACAGAAATGGTTTGAGGTAACCTACGTTTCCAAAGTTTTAATAAAAGATCTTGGCTAACCATTTGAGATCCGCCTACAGTGCTTAACATTCCTCTATAGAAATCGGATGGTTTCTGGTCACCCATTTCTGTTCCAGACAATAATTCGTCCAACCTTTTTTCCTCACTTTGTGAAAGCCTAGTTATTAAAGTGTTTTTGAGGAAATTATACACATCGCGTTAAGGTGGGTTAGAAATAACATCATAAATGGTTGAGATAACTTCAGTAGGCAAATTTGTTATAACAAGGTTATATTTTGTCTTGTCAGCATGTATTCTCGAAATAATAAATTGCGCCTCAATTTGAATGAACCACAGTTCTGGTTTACTTACCCAGAAAGGTGGTAATTTAATAGAAGACACATTTTCTTCAATTAAATTGTTAGCATCACCACTGTGATCATTCATTTTAATAAAGTCCTTAATAAAGTTTGTGGATAATTATAATTTTGAAAAAAATTTTAATTTTGAAATTTAAATGTCCGTCAAAAAGACAATTGACAATTAATGACAATTATTTATTTATTCCTTCTCACGGCAAAATACCTTACACAGGGAAACATCTATAACGTACCTGACGTAGATACTCCACCTGTTACAACGACGAAAGCGGGAAATCTTCAAAAGGGCCAAAATTTCAATATCCAAGAAGACCAAAATAAAAATCTTCTACATACTTGTAAGATCAAAGGGTAAAATTCGGTCCATCCAAAAATTAAATTTAATAGGTGGTTAATCGAAAATTTCCAAAATTATTCCAAAATTATAAAATCTTTAATGTAATATTCCGTTGTCAAAAATACTTTTCAAAATTAATTTAATTTGTATTTGTATAATAATTGTTTATGTTGAAAAGTTAAAAGACATCACGTCGGGGTCACCAATTGAGGTTGTTTGGTTGTGAATTAAATAAAATATATCCTTATAACCTCTTTTTAAGGATAAATATACAAAACGTGTTTCGTTATGAAAGTGATGGAAATGAACTCAAGTTTTATTAAAATGTAAACAATAATAAATTTTCATGACGTCATGGTATAGTGATTTTACAAATATTTTAATTTAACATCAGGTGGGTTCTGTGACGGTAACGCCACATAAGTGATGAGCAATATTTACACGCTCACCATGTATGGAAAGAATTTAATTGTCAAAACTTAAAAGAATATTCCGACTTGTACTTAAAGACTGATGTTCTTTTATTAGCCGATGTTTTCGAGAAATTTAGACGTGTATGTTCTAAAACGTACGGTTTGGATCCGGCTCATTATTATACGGCACCGGGACTTTCTTGGGATGCCATGTTAAAATTTACGAAAATTAAATTGGAATTGTTAACGGATATAGATCAAGTTCATTTCGTTAAAAAAGGTATCCGAGGGGGTATTTCACAATGCTCCCTACGACATGCTAAAGCAAACAATAAGTATATGGAAACTTATGATGCTAATTCACGCTCAAAATTTTTAATGTATTGGGACGCTAATAATTTGTATGGGTGGGCGATGTCTCAATTTATACCCGTTTCCGATTTTAAATGGATGTCTGAACACGAAATAGAAAATTTAGATTTTAATAATATACCTGATATTGCCGATTTTGGGTATATTTTAGACGTTGATATTGAATACCCCGAAATTATGCACGATCTACATAATGATTTCCCGTTCCTAGCTGAAAACCTATTACCACCTAACGGTAAATGTGAAAGTGATAAAAGATTAATTCCAAATTTATTTAATAAGAAAAATTATGTCGTACACTATAGAAATTTAAAACAAGCCGTTGCTCACGGTCTTAAAGTTTACAAAATTAATAGAGTTTTATCGTTTAAACAGTCTGCGTGGTTGAAGTCTTACATCGATAAAAATACTGAACTACGTCAATCAGCTAAAAATGCGTTTGAAAAAGACTTTTTTAAATTGAATAACGCGGTTTTCGGTAAAACTATGGAAAATGTTGATAAGAGAGTCGATGTAAGATTAGTGACCAGTTGGGAAGATATATGTATGAAAACGGGTAGACCAAAATTAGGGGCGCGTAGCTTAATCGCTAAATTAAATTTTAAGAATATTAAAACTTTCACGGAAACATTTTCGGCTATTCAAATGGAACGTCTTCATATCGTTTACGATAAACCTTTATATGTTGGTTTTACGGTTTTAGAGTTGTCGAAATTATTAATGTACAACTTTTTTTTTTGTTTTTTAAAACCAAAGTATGGTGAAGGTATTCGGTTATGTTACATGAATACGGATAGCTTCACCGTTCTAATTAATTCCAATGATGTTTATACAGATGTAAAATTAAATTTAAATAAATTTGACACGTCTAACTACAGTCCTGATAATCAGTTTGACGTCCCGTTACAAAATAAAGCAGTTTTAGGTCTCATGAAGGATGAGAATTGTGGTGAAATTATGGAAGAATTTGTGGGTTTAAGATCGAAGGTGTATGCTAACAGAGTCGCTGATGGACGGGTTACTAAAAAATCCAAAGGTGTAAAAAAGGCTATCGTGAAACGTAAAATTACTTTTGAAAATTATATCGAATGTTTAAATTCTAAAGCCGTTTTGTTTAGAAAGCAATTATCTTTTAGGAGTTTTCATCACATAATTTTTACTATGTTACAAAATAAATTGGTTCTTTCACCAAATGATACCAAGCGATGTATTCGTAATGACGGGATTGATACATTAGCTTGGGGTCATCATAGTATTAATAATTAAAATTATTAAATTGCATTAAATTATTAAATTGCATTGTTACATCATCAACATTTAATGTGTAAGGTTGTTTTATCACAGCGTTTAATCACTCTGAAAGTAAAATGTGAACAAAATTTTTTAAAAACATTTCAAAACTATACTATTGTTTTTTGATTCTCTTTTCTAGTGATTAAGTCTGCGGAGCAAATATTAAGAAAAATTTTTTCTTTTTTATTTCTTTTTTGTTCTGTTCAACTGCTAATAAAAATTTTTTATATTAATTGTATCTGAATTCTATAACGTTACATGAATTTTTTTAGTAATTAAGTCTGCGAAGCAAATATTAATAAAATTTTTAAGTTTTTTATTTCTTATTTGTTCTGTTCAACTGCTAAGCATTAAACTGGAAAGGTTTCGGTGGTTTGGTGGTTTATTGACTTTACAGTTTCTAGATTTCTCCTTGCAGCTATCAGTTCAATTCCTATAACAAGTAAGTATTATGTATTGTGATAATTTTAACATTCTCTTAGTTCACCGAGAGAACATAACCTAGAATTTGTGACAGAGAGATTTTTTGTTGGTGAAAATCTTATCTTAAACCGTTTTGTTTACTTCCAAATGTATCAATTATTATAGTTCAGCTCCTAAAGCACATTTTTCATCCATCGTTTGAGGTTTTAACGTTATTTTGAGGAAGAAATCCTTGATTTAAATTTGAATTTTTCCAACTTTACTCATTGTTGAAATTTGGCGTGTACTCCAATGTATGTCTAAAAACAAGAAAAGACAACGTTGAATACGAAGTTTTATTACGTTTCATAAAGGAATAAGGGAGAAATCAACGAAAAAAAAATTAAATTTTGAAGGTTAATTCCGAGAAAAATCAAGAGATGACTCTAGTTTCAAAGCAAGAATTTTGAATTTTGAAAAGGGCGCGAAGCTAAGAGCCAATCAGAGACAAGGAAAAAACAGTTGGAGTGCCGGGGTATATAAGGAGATCGCGAACAGGGAGTGAGAGAGTCGTCGTCGGACCAGCGTCGAATCCGCGTCGTCAGATAGAAGAATTTTTGAAGAGATAACCTCAAAAATTTAAGATAATTTTTTTTAAAAAAGTCAAACCAACTTACAATATTAAAATAAAAAGAGAATCATCCTACAACCTATTCCGAAAACTACTGATACTTCTTCAAGATCATCCAAGACCCTATTTCCGAAGAACAAACAGTTCAATTTCCCGTAAGAAGAATCCTGTAGACAATCCAGAAAATTAGTTAGTGCCCCGAACACAAGAGACAATCCATAATCCAATCCTTTCTTTTACACAGTGAGTCGGATGATAATTTTATTTTATTATTTAACATAACCTACAAAAAGAAAAATCAAAGAATCAAACTCAAAGATCAACTCACAAGAGTTTCCTATAATTTTGATGAATACTTACTTGTGGGTAAAGATTTATTAGTTTTCTTGAATAACGTTCATTTATTTAATTCTATTTTTCTTCAACGAGTTTGATGACAACTTAAGAAGTCAGCCATTTGTTATTTTCAAAGAACGGTTCTAACGAGTTTTATCCTACTCTCTCTCTCTCAAATAATAAACGGGTTTTCTCTAATATCGATATTTCAGTCGATAACCGCAGTTATCTATTTTATTTAAAAATTTATCTTTCGTAAATAAGCATTTGTAAAGTACCTCGAATTATTACTGTAAATTAAATTTACATACAAAATAAAACAAATAAACGAAAAATTAGTGTACATCTCCAATAATTCGAGGTACTGCGAGGTACTTGACGATCTCGGATATCTAGATTAATGTTATTAGTTAAATTTTCTTAATAAACAATTTTTACATTTTTTTCAAAAATTTTCTGATGTAAGGGTACTAAAATTTTACGGCATCGTAAAGAGAAAAAAAATCTCTATTAAATGAGCCTAACGACAGGGTACATTGCTATTTAAAAAACTTCAAGTGTTATTCGTTGCTCATTTGTTTTCTGAAATAAAAACAATTGAATGCTGTCTTATTATGGTAAATTAAACATCTTTTGTATAAAATGTTTTTTTATAAAGTTGATACCTACCAAGATATACACTATATTCCATACATAATGGGCACCCTGTATAAAACATTGAACATTAATGATAAATTTTATTTTGTCGAAAAATTTGGTATAAATAAAAGTCGACAAGCGATTATATCGGCGGGGTCAGTAACGCAAGAAGAAATCAAAATTTTAAACTTTAAACATTTTATTGATTTTGTTACATCATGTCCTTTTCCATTAATAACCTTTAAATTTTTAATAATATCAAACATTTCATTTAAGAAGTCGTCTTCGCCAGAATATTTTTTTGAATTTAATCATCAAATAGCTTATTGAATTTTTCAATAAACTCTATTGTTCCAATACATTCTGATGGAAGCGCTTTAAAATAAACTTCCAAATATCTCCACTCCTAATATATGTATGCCTAATTACTTGGGCTACTAATTTTACCTTCATTTTTTAGAAGTTGGTTGGGTTGATGTGTGCAGGAGTCAATTTTGGTGCCAATCTGTTTCTTTGTTGAACATGCATGTTATAAAAACTTGAAATAAACTCCCAAGATGTTTTCTTATCATTAAACACAAAATTATGTTTAATTATATTATTTCTGGTAGCTTTTAACAAGTGAGGAGTATCAAAAATTAAAGGAATTGTGTCTCCATTTAACAAATTCATGGGGTCTCTGGTGTTATTTTTAAAATATTATGTAATTGAATAAAATTACTTCCCATATCTGTTACCACACATCGTACTCGGAGCCCAATGTTTTTTAATTTTTGAATACATTGCTCAATCTCTTCTTTTAATGTTGGTGCTGTAAATGTTTTAATAAAAAAATAACCAAGAGGTAATTTCCAATTATTTGTAAGCCCTCTAATCATAAAAACATTTGCATTTCGTGCTGAAATGTACTCTGTTTTATTGTCTCCTATATCTACGAGACCAACAACTTCGTCTCTTCCAATGTGATAAAACAGATTCTCTTTTAGGGCCATTTCATCGATACAGAGGATGCAATCCTTGTCTAAATATCCCATAGAAGAAACTTTAATTTCCAATGCCTTATACAGTTCTATGTTGTTGAGGCCAGGCACAAATTTAATTTTCAGTAAACTTTCTTAAGGTCCTTGTTGAAGGCAAATAAAATAAAGTCTGCCCCAAAAAATATAATTGCATACTGAACTCTTTGTATGTAGTAGTATCTTCTTTTTGATGATGTTATGTTGCACAACCTCGCCTGTATTTTTATAAAACTTGTCAAATTGTTGGGAAAAAAACTATCACAATAATTGTCGAAAACTTGTAGAGTGCATGTTTTGTTAGTAGTACTTGCATACATAAGTAATCTTCTCACCTTGACATTTTCAGATCGTAAGTTTTTTACAGACTGTTTTAAGGAGAGGGTATAGTTAATTCGGTGAAAAAGAAACATATTCTCAAGAATTTTTTTTAGACGATACACGTAATGCTGGGGTATTTATATGGGGTATTAATGTTCATATAATAATACAACATTTGATCTATATTTTCCTAAATTTTTAATGCAAAATATTTATAAACAAGCCGTTGGCAGTAAATTTTCACAGGCGCCTCGAAAAAAAAGTGAGTTTGCGGTGTACACTACAGCTCGTCACTGGATTATCTGAAACAAAAAGATCAAAATGCGTTTATTAGGTGATATGTTTCTCAAAGTAACGCTGTTGAGTTTTTTTTTAATCGCTTTTTTCCTTTTCGTTAGCACTTGGAAGTGAAAGACGCGATTGTCGCTAAAAAAATCTGCAAATTTGTTATTGTAAAATAAAAAATTATTATAAATTAAAAAAATTCGACAGCGTTACCTGGTGGTTCATGTGTAGAAATAGTATACAAAATTTTAAAAGAATCGGTGCATTAGACTTAAAAAATGACGAGTTTCAGAAGAACGCTTTAAAGTTTTGCACACTAAAAAATCCAAAATAAAACTCGATAATTCTTTTATACTCACACAGAGTCGTCGTCGTCCATAAAGTAAAGAGCTTTCATCTAGAATGTCTAAAGCATCTTTCTGTTCTTGTCTTCGTAAAATTCTTTCTTTGCTATCATGTTTCTCAGCTTGTTCCTGTGCTCTGCTAATTCGCAAATCGTCCACTGTGCGTGCCCATTCGTGAGAACTTGGTCCTGTACCGATCTGCATTTCTCGCATAAAAGTCAACAAATCAAAACAGCCTTCATTAAAAGTACATTCTGCTACATGAGCTGCAATTTCAACAATGGTTGAAGTACCACCTACTGATTTTGGAGAAATTTTCCAAATAAGCTGGTTGAGGCTGCAAAAGTGCGTCCTTGCTTAAATCCGTATAAATCGGTTGAATCGCATTTAAAACATCAGTGGGAAGTGCAGTGTAGCTTGTTTGAATGACTGCAGGGCATTTGAAGCTACAGCTTTCTGCCATTCACACCATGAGTCTTCGCCGCACGGGCATTTCTCGTGCTGCGGATTGTCGTCTGTTGAGCTGTAGTGAAATAATCTGAAATAATCGATCGTGGCCGTCTCGGTGGAAGACCTGTCACGAAATCCATGCTAAGCATCTGACAAAATATTGAATTTGTCGAGATTTTGGAAAAAAACACTATTTAAAGAAATAGGGCGGTAGTTTGAGATATCCGACGGGCTTCCCCTTTTATATACGGGAATCGTGTTGCAAGTCGATTTAAAATCATTGCTAGAGGTGGGGCTAAGACATCTCGTAGAAACTTGACACAGCCGACATGGACGCCATCAGGACCAACACTGTAGGTGTTTTTCAGATTTTTGATTACTCCCATCGTCTTTGACACAATAGGTAACATTATAAAAATACATACTCGCATTAAAGAATCCGTCCAATCCAACCAAAGGCTATGCTCAGGGATTCGGGAACTACGTTTACAAAAAAGTTACAGTAATGGGAGTACCATTCGGCTGGTTCCGCGATTAATTTACTGGCTATTACCAACTTTAAATCTGGACTATTTGGAGTAGTCTGCGTCGAAACTTCACACTTTTGCCTGCTATATACTTGTTTTATAGCACGTCATTAAGAAACTGTATATTTTAAAAATACCCGATAGAAATAATTGTTGTGATTATGTTTTAAAGTTGGTTGGTCCTCCTTATACATCAAATAAAATTACTTATTACTTTGTATAACACTATGAAGTGACTGCTTCTTTATATACAAAGACTAAGCACACTTAATTTCTACAATTGCATCCTCTCCTACCAAACCTAGTTATATTAAATGCTTGCCATGAAATAAAACACAATAAAAATAAATGAAAACCTTACCGTCAGATGACGCTGCTAGGAAACCATATTCCGTGTGTACAAATAAGCCTGCATTCTGGATAAACATACCGATTACTTCTTCAAATTTCCTTCTGGCGACTTCTTCACATCGTTTTCCATATTCCATTGCTGGAGTTATTATATTTCTTTTATATAGAAGGTTCTTTAAGAGAGGTAAATATGAAGTCTGCAATTTTCGTTTAGTAATTGTTCCAAAATTAGACGATGTTAAACGTTTCTGTCTTTCCTGTATGTATAATTGCATTACTGAATTGGTGGCCCTATTGTTGCAATCGCCAATTGCCATTGTTCTTCTTCAGTGACCTAAAAAAACAGTGAGACGATATAAAATGCTCAATGATCATATCATTATTTATAATATTTTATTTCTAAGAATTAATGTTATTATTTTATATGAGGATGATCAAAATTGGTAAATACCTATAAAGACTGTAATGTTCTATTATACTCTGAATTAAATTCTGCTGTGTTCAGTAATGCTTGGTGTGTTTTTTCACCATAATCTAAATCTGTACCTTTTTGTAGTTGTTGTCGTCGATTTCTACCTTTTGTTATTCTTTCCTTTTTCTTTTGATCATGTTAACGCGTATGTCTAATATATTCGCTTATTTCTAAACTAGCAAACATTTGTAACGACTCCGGTTGCTAACTAGTCTCTGAAACATATTTTACAATAAAAACAATATAATAATGAACATATTACTACCCGAATTATATTTCAATGTTGAGAGGTAAGATCGTACTTCGAAAGATCGCCTTTGAATCAAATTTAAGCGTTTTCCGCAATTTAATTTTCTTACAAGAGATATAAAAACTTCTACCTTATTATTATTCTCATAAGTTACTAGTTTATGCGCTTTTGCCAGCACCGGTTCCATAGCACCTATAACGATTTTATAAAAGATAAAATCAATCTGTGGCAGAAATATAAATACTTACTTCTTAAATGATATACTGATCCTGAACCAATAAGTTTATTTGCTAGTGTCGCATTTATAAATCCTGGGGTGTTATAGTAATGTGAAACACAATCACTGTGGTTCCCATAAATATGATTTATCGAATTAGCAATGTCAGTTTTTAGATGTTCAGGATTTTCATTAATTTTATCTCGATACATAATAAATTGTTGCATTGTTTAATTTTATCATGCGTTAACATTTTCGAGCTAGAGATGATACCCCGTTATTTGTTGTTGACGTCTTTATTTTATATAAACTTTTCTCAAAGTTTGTTATTAGGTGATTTACACGTTCTATTTTATCTACCTCCATACCATAATTCACGTTATATCTAATTTTACTGTAAATGCTGGAATCGCCATCATCGATTATTTTCAGATACTATTATACGCACCGTGCCAGACAGAGCATTCCTCCATCACAATGAACGGTTATCGACGGTACTCCATCTGAACTAAAGTGCCCTTTGTGAATTGCAATACTTAGTAACTGTTAATGTAATAGCTTTAAGTGTATTCATCGATTCAAGTCGTTCCATTGCATTTTCAGAATTTCTAACTCCTGGGAATAATTTCTTTTTCAATTCTTCAGATAGATCATTCTAAACTATTTTTGACTGTGCGACGACCTATCCTGGTTCGGTCCTAGGAAAAGGGGTCTTGGTGCCCTGTTATGTGTTCGGGATGTTAACGGTCTCGGGCGCCAATTTTGCGACGACCTATCCTGGGGTTCGGTCCTAGGAAAAGGGGTCTTGGTGCCCTGTTATGTGTTCGGGATGTTAACGGTCTCGGGCGCCACCTTATGTTTAGAGAGTTAAGGAACTCTTTCGCCTCCAGGTAACTTTTGGGGGTTACAGTCGGAGATCCAGGGATTCGGTATGGGAAAGAAGAAAACAAGAAAAATTGGGAAAACAAATAACTATCAACTTTATTAATAATAAAATAAACAAATAGGAGGGCAGTTTATTGCTTTGTGACCACGGTCGGAGAATGGGGACGGTGGGAATAAATTGACAAGACTTTGACTTTATAATAAATGAATTTAAATTAAACAAATAAAAAAAATGAGGCGGAGGTATGGGATACACCTGGAAACCTTCCTAAGGTGCAAAGGAACGGAATACTCGAAGAACCTTCCAAGAGTATTAAGGTTGGGACAAAATGTACAACAAATAATGAAAATTAACAGCAAAATAAAATCAAAGTCTATCAAAATAAATTGGACTTACGGTAAACTGAAATACGGATATTTCGGAAATTAACTGTTGACGAAGACTGTTGTAGTACTTGTTAAAGACGGTCGTAGTACTGATGAAGAACTGTTGTAAATCAGAATTTTGGCCGGCTATTTATACCATTTTGGGGCGAAATCTGGATTTTTCCGCGTGGGGGATCGTATCAGTACAAGTTATCAACGACTAATTTACAATGCGCGGCGCTAATTAACAAAAATAGAAAAATTCTGACGGCGCTATCGGATGCGGGACATAAAATTACATAATTACAGTTTTTGAACGGGTAAAATCGGTTAAAGACCGGCGGAGTAATTAACAATTAATCAACAATAATTAACGGAAAAATTATAACACAAATCAAAAGATACCCTTACTTATACGGAAAATTACAAAAATATTTTTAACAAAATCGGCCACTGTTTACGGCACTTATATTCACAAACGTTTTCCCGACCACGTGATTCACGTTAAAACCAATTAATCGGTATTAATTTACGCGCACCTTAACACAAAACAATTCCAGCAGTTGGGCGATGTTCGGGGCAATCCTACATGGGCAATATTTTCAACGGATGACCATCAGGAATGGAGTAATTTAATTAATTACGATGCGGGCTGATTTTCGGTGAATTATTGTATTAATAATAAGCGGATCATCTTTAGAATCGTTCAACGGTTATTTCATGATATATTTAAATGTTTGAAATCGGTTTGATCGGTCTATGATTTCTAATTCCGCATCATAAAAAAATAGTCGCTATACGGTAGCTCGACGGTAGCTCGCTGGCTGCTGAAACTTCCTCGGGACGATCGGCTGGACTGATAGAAACATGTGGCTTGTCGTATCTTGTTTGGAAATTTGTTAATTTCGGCATTATTTAATTATTTGATAATAATTTTTCGGAACGCACATGTTTTCGTGATTCAGCAATTTTATTAATTACTTTCATTTATTGATGATTCGGTCAGGGAACGTTGTTGGAATTTAAGATAACGGTTTCGAAATGGAAAACGGAGAAAATCAAAGTCTAATTAAAAAAATTATCAAAATTAATAAAATGTGAATTGGGTTGCATAAACGGGCGGTGATAAGGAGATAAGATATCTTTTTCGGAATTTCTACAAATCGGGTGGAAACTGTAACGTATCGAGGTAGTGTGGGAAGTATACTCGGATATATTTAATTTTCGGTAATTTTTCGGAATATTCGGTTTTTGAAAAATAAAAATAATGTAACTTCGTTACAACTGTTTGTATCTATATGTATCAGCTCTTGTATTTTAGTAAACTCTTCTCCCCTGGGATCTACGACCTCTGAAAAGTCTACTGCAGTTTGTAGATAACCCATGTCTTGATTTGATCGCTAGCCTCCGCCAGATAAAGTTTTATTATTATTTCAGTAATTCATTTTGAAATGTTTTACGGTTGTGGATACACGAGCCCCAGAAAAACGGGTTAGATGAAGAACAATACTTAGTTCTTCCTTTCTTCTTTTTTCCATACTGTACCTCATCTCTCCAGTCGTCCCCAATCAACTCTTCTATTTTGTGAAAGGAAGAATATGCTATTATAGGAGCGTCTAATACAGCGTGGAAATCCTTCATTTGCGCATAGGTCGTTAAAGGTGAGCTGGCATGAAAATTTTTTGAATTATAATTTTGATATTTAAAACTACATTAAAAAAGACATGTTTTTATTTTAAAGAAAATATTGTTTAATGTGATGGGTAAGCCTGATGAGTTATATTATTATAAGTCACCACGAGCACTAACATCAAGTCGGTTTCTTTTTTCGTAATCAGGTTCATAGCCACACTAAATCCACGTTCCACTAAGGGTAGGCACACACGGTCGATTATTCATCGACGAAACAGTTTAGTTGGATTGGCTTGAAATCGCGATGCATTATCAATTTATAATCGACTAAACTGTTTAGTTGTTCATAAATCGCGTTGTATGCACACACATATCGATTTCGAAACAACTTGTATTTATATTAAATTCCTTTCTGCGACAAAATTATTATTTTATGTTCTTGTAAGTGGTGCAGTTAATAAAATTATAGAAATGTTAAATAGAAAAGTATTATTATTATTGCGTTATTATACATAAAAAAAAGAAATTGAAAAAAGCTATTAGACGGCGGTATTGGACTCATCCTATATATTGTGATCGGCTTAGAAAGGGAATTTTCCACACGCTCCATACAAAACTTCTACAACATCCCGATAAGTTTTTCATGTACTATAGAATGAGTGTGACCAGTTTCAACGAGTTATTGAAGTTGATTGCTGTTTCTATTTCTATGGAAAATACTAACAAACGTCTAGCCATATCCCCAGAAGAAAGATTGAGTGTTACATTAAGGTAAGTTATAAAAATATATGGATTTTATGTTATGATTTATTTTAATATATTTTGTATTTCGACAGTTTAAAGCATAAACATAGTATGTTCAATGTCAATCACTCAGAGCAGATTTACAATTCCAACAATTCTTCAGATGCAGAGGAGCCTGTAGTAAATAGAGATACATACGATTGTATCGTATCGTCGGTGTGTGCTGGCGACGGAATTATGGAAAATCCAGATTGCTGTGGTTCTGGATTCGAACCGCCATATTGATGTATTGCGGAGGCATGTGGCAGTTGTGGTGCAATTGTGGATCGAAAGCTTTGTGATCGCCTTCGTTTCATTTGCTGGAAAATTTTTAATATATCAATTTTTGCCTCAAATTTTTCGTCCTCTGACAGAGACCGTAATTGGGAAACTAACGACAGAGCAAAATGGGTGTCTTCATCTGTTTCCTGCTGGACGGCCTTTAGTATCTCTTGCTCAACAGCCGAATTTCCGGTGTCTCCGTCCTGGATTCGTCGTTTTTTCTTTGTCGAGCTAGTAGGCGTCCTAATAGAAGTATCAATAAGGATTTCATCTAAATTATGATCTTCCACCTCAGCCGTTTCCTCTTGTGGTATGTTGCTTTCAGTGGGCCTTTGTTCAATAGTGAGCAACAGAAACATTAATTTTTCGAAATATATATATTTTCTCCGTTTAGACGCCGATTGCCCGGACTTAACGTCTTTTTGAGCCTTCAGCTCTCTGCAGAAGCAGGTTCGCAGATTCAACCACTTTTGTTGAACATTTTGACCTAAACATATGAATTTATAATTAAAATTTATTACTACTTTAGGAAATCTTATAATAAAATTATGTATATGTATTTGTGAATTTTACAGTGTTGTGAGAATGGAACCTCACGAATTTTGTCTAATTAATATTTTTTTTTCAGGTACTTAGCAACAGGATCCAGTTTTAAAGCACTTTCATTTCAATATATGATAGCCCCTTCTACTATCAGTGGCATTATACGCAAGACATGCGAAGAAATATGGAACAATTTACAATCACTGTTTATGCCTCAAAAAACTACTGACGATTGGATAAGTGTTGCTGACGAATTTTATCGCCGTACACAATTTCCCAACGTAATCGGTGCTGTAGATGGTAAACACGTCCGAATGATTTGCCCAGCTTCTTCTGGATCTGCATTCTATAATTATAAAAAGTTTTTCTCATGCGGTCTCATGGCTTGGACTGACGCTGATTACAAATTTATATTTATTGACGTTGGGGCTTATGGAAGCTCCAGTGATTCACAAATTTTTAAGAAATTAAAATTTTTACCGGATTTTATTTTATTTTCGGAGGACAGTTCTCCCCAATTAGGAATTATTTCCATACAAATTTCTTGCCATAACTTTCTTTTCACGTTTACATCGGCATACTCTTTTAAATTTTTCATATATAACGCCGGACGCGCTTCTATCATTTCGATAAACTTTTCCATATCATTAATTATTAGTGGCTCCATAGCTGCTAATGACACTCGAAAAAGTTTGATGTACTACCTATTCCAACTTCCAACAGAAACACATGAATCACATGATGTGATAGAGTTCAAGGGAAATAATTAAAATTTTTAAAATAATGTAATTGAATTACTTTAATATATTTATTGTAATATATAATTAATTAACTGTGGTAGTAAAACGGAAAATAATTTAACTTAATTTTTGATATAAATTCACTTATCATAAAATAATTGAGGGAAACTTGATTTATGTTATACTAGAGAAGACACTTCAACTCTCAGTAAACTTGACCTTGAGGTTGCGCGCGCAACCTAAATTCCTAAAGACTTCAACTAAACTATCGACTGTGTGTGCGCTTCAATACGAAGCTGTGGCATTATCGCAGTTGTACGATAGTTGCACAACTTTTTAATCATAAGTGCACATCGACTCCTTTTGATTTAAAAATCGAGTTGATCTGCAGTTGTGTTGTGTGTGTACCTACATTAAACTTAATGCATTTATGTTCATCGACTAAACTATCGGCCGACTAAAAATCGACCGTGTGTGCCTACCCTAAGTATGAAGACGTAAAAGCTATTAAAAACATTTCCGTAGTATTCCATACTTCGGGATATAAAGTTGGTATTTGTTTTTGTAACCAAAATTTGTCATATCCGTCAACAAACATTGGTTTTAATTCTTCGTTCGTACCTAGCTCGATAAGTTGCTCTTGAATAAACATGGACTCGAAGCTAGTTGATTTGTATGTAAAAGGGTCCAACACATCTATTGTTGAAGTGATAATAAACAAGCAAATCAACATCATGATTTTGTAACTCAAAAAGTTTTGAAAATTGAGAGATTTCTCTTCTTCCCAATTTTGTTCCTCGTCAGTAGTGTAAAAAGGCCGATTCTGGACAGGAAGTGATCCTGATCCTCCCTCGCGCATGCGCAGTGAAGCGGATATGACGTCAGCGCATGCGCAGTACGTGCATGTAATGTTGGTTGCCTACCTCGTGGGGCGCCACCTAGCGGTAGATAGCGGAACTAACCACCTAGCAGTGGGTGGTACGTGCATGTAATGTTGGTTGCCTACCTCGTGGGGCGCCACCTAGCGGTAGATAGCGGAACTAACCACCTAGCAGTGGGTGGTGGAACTAACGCCATGTTGGTTGGTTGCCTACTTCATGGGACGCCACCTAGCGGTGGGTGGTGGAACTAACGCCATGTTGGTTGCCTACTTCATGGGACGCCACCTAGCGGTGGGTGGTGGAACTAACGCCATGTTGGTTGCCTACTTCATGGGACGCCACCTAGCGGTGGATGGTGGAACTAACGCCATGTTGGTTGCCTACTTCATGGGGCGCCACCTAGCGGTGGGTGTTCTAAATCAAAATCACATTTTATCCCTACCACTACCTCCTTTTGAGGTTCTGACCACGACCACATTTTAAAGTCCCAAGAACCCTCTTTTTGCCTGGAAGAAATTATTCTGATTGGAAAATTAGAAATAAGAACAAAATTTATTAACATTTCTATTTATTTACTTTCTACGTTTTTACAAAGTCGATAGAATGCGCTTACTTGCTAACGTTTTTTAGTCGATGAGAACATTTTAATTTATTTATTTACTTTCTAACGTTTTTACAAAGTCGATGAGATGCGCTGGATTCCCTTTTCCAACATCTTTCACTCCTTTGAAAATTAAGCTCATACCTTCTAGCTCAGTAATTTCATCATCTGTAATCACCTCCGCGATACGTTTTGGTAAAAATACGGAGAAACCATCCTCCAAATCAACAACAACTGATGGCCATGTACATGATGTAATCCGCTTCGCAAACTTAATCGCATCTGGATAACGCTAACAATAANAAACAACTACGTTACAACGTACCTGAGTGTGGGGGGGATTGTTTCCCCCCCCAGCCATTTTTTTTCCTTCTTCAGCTCGGTGACCATTTTATCTCTCTCTCCGCAGCCCCTACTTGCCTCGATCGCACACTTCACCACGGGTTTCACATGGAGAGGCGTTTTATGGAGGAAACGACATAACATTACTTTTTATTCAGTTTGCTATTACATCATACGTACCTGGAAGAGGAGGGGAAGCATCCCCTCCTCTCCCATAACCTCCCGGCGACAGCTCCCACTCCGTCGTCTCCTTCTCCTTCATTATAGTTCTGCACATGTTCGCAATCGCCTCCCATCCCTCTTCACTCTTCAGCATCACCGTCTCCATGTTGGATACACTAATTTTCTGGCCACACTTCTTTTCACACACCCCTCTTGCCCTCTCAAACTGGCGACACGAAAACAGAGTGTGCCACGCCGTGTCGCTCTCCCCGCAGAACCAGCACTCGTCATTATCCGCTTTTCCGATCTTATACAGGTATGAGCCAAAGACGCCGTGACCCGTCAGCGCCTGTGCCAGGTAAAAATCTATTTCTCCCCATTTTCTTTCTCTCCACGATGCTATATCAGATATTAACACTCTAGTCCACCCTTCGTAGCCTTTCCATCTCTCCTGCCACATCTCCACCGTTCTCTCTTTGAGCTCGTTTGCCACATCTTTCCCCCTTTCGTATAAGAGACTTCTCTCTTCCACCAACAAATCAAGAGGTGGCATACCAGCAACAACCTCAGCAGCCTCCCCCGATACCGTTCGATAAGCAGCCATAACCCCTATCGCCAGCCTTCTATTCGCCGCTCGCAGCATACCTGCGTATTTTTTGTACAGTATGGCTTTCTTCCAAATCGGTGCCGCATACAGTATCACTGACACCGCCGCCGAGGCAATCACCTTCCTTTTACTCGCCATCGGTCCACCAACATTCGGCATTAATCTCCTCAAGAGGTTTGTCATGTAAGTCACTTTTATCATCGTTTCCCTTACGTGCTTCGTCATTCTCATGTCCTTATCAAAGTGGACCCCCAGATATTTAGCACTTGGTACGGTTTCGATAGTACTCCCATTTATCAACAAGGATAACTCTACAATCTTCCTCCTACCTTGTAGAAGGACCATCTCCGTCTTAGACTCCGCCACAGTCAGCCCCATATCACTCAGCTTTCGAATCACCCTATTCGCGGCATAGGTAGCCCGGTCTTCCAATTGTCTTCTATCTCTTGCCTTCACCACCAGCGCCAGATCATCTGCGTACGCCAGCATCTGCACGCCCCTCTCCATCTTCACTCTCAGAACCGCATCATAGAACAGATTCCAGAGTGTAGGGCCCAAAATGGATCCCTGTGGGACCCCGCTTGTGACTGGAAATCTTTTGCCGTTCGAACTCACCACGAATCTGTCTGACAAATACGATTTGACTAAATCGACCAGGTAACGACTTACACCACCCTCTTCTAGGGCCTTTACAATTCCCTTCCAGGGCGCTGAATTAAATGCATTCTGCACGTCCAGCAGAATCATTACGCAGTATTCCTGGTTATTCAATGCCTTCCTTTTAATTTCCTCTATAATAGTCTGTACCCTCTGCATGGCTTGGATCGTGGACCTTCCCTTTCTAAAACCATATTGATCTTCATGCAATAAATTCTTTTCCTCAATCTCCAGATGTAATCTTTCTCTTATTATTATCTCAAACAGTTTTCCCATGGTATTACACATGCAAATCGGTCTGTATGTCGGTCCTTCTGTTGCATTCTTTTTTGGTTTCTCAATGAGGGACAGATTCGCCACTTTCCAGGGTCTCGGGAATTGGCCAGTTTTCATACAGCCATTATACATTTTTACGAACGCGTTTTTATTTCCCATGACTGTTTCGATTAGGATTTCAGGTGTTATCCCATCAGGTCCCGGAGCTTTCTTTCTTCTAATACATCTCACAGCGTTATCCACTTCTTCCAAGGTTATCGGAGGGTACTCATCTCTTTGTCTCTCACCCTGAATCCATATAAATTCTTCATGTTTTGGAAAGAGTTTTTCAATCTGGCGCAGAACTTCACTCTCCTCTATCGGCGCTCTATTCCTTAGCTTAAGCTTCATCGTCACGATCTTATAGGCTTTCCCCCACACATCCTCATCCAAACTCTTTCTCAGTTCATTCCATTTTTCCCTCTTGCTCCTCCCTATCTCTCTCTTTAGTTCCTTTTTAGCTTGTTTATGACTCGCGCGGACGTTCTCAACCGAGTCTCCCTCCCCAAATCTTTTCCTCGATCTAGTTAGCTCTCTTCTCAATCTATTACAGGACGACCTAAGTTCTGCTATCTTAGCATTCCACCAATACACGGGCTGTCTATTACGTGCAGCTCCCGATTTCCCAAATACATAGTCACATTTACTTCTAATTCTCTCCCACATACCCACTGGTGTCACCTCGTCGTATTCTGAGAATAGGTTTAAACATTCTTTCTGGTACTTTTTCAGCAGGCCATGACTAGTGCGCCATCTGTATTTGTTAAAATCTCGAGACTTTTCACCCCCTGCATTTCTTATCTCAAATGTAATCGTTCTATGATCGCTCATATTTTCTTCATTTCCAACCCTCCAGCCCACAAGTTTATCTCCCAGCTCTTCCGAGGCTGCCGTAAAGTCTATAATCGACTGCCCCATGGCTCCTACAAAGGTGGGCTCCTTTCCTTCGTTTATCGCAACTAGATTATTCGATGTCAACCATTCCTCTAGTATTCGTCCTCTTTCGTTGCTACCTGCTGACCCTATCACAGCCGTTTTCGCATTTAGATCCCCCCCCACTATTATACTCTTTTTTATTCTCCTAAAGAGAGACTCCATGGAATATAACAGCTCCTCATAGTCCTCGATTACACCATTTGGGGAAAAATAACATGAGACGATAGCCTCCTTTTCCAATTCAACGCACACAAAACCCCTACCCTTAAAACTATCCAGCACCCTAACATCACTACATATATTAATAAAAGTATCACAGTTCATATCACTAAAATTCACCAATTCCCACTTCTTATTTTGTTCACAGCCTATTATCACATCGAT